TGCCGAGGTTAATTTATCACAGTTGTTAACTGAATGATATTGTTGGATATTGTTTAATAATGATGTCACTTCTAGATACCATTTACTTTTAATGTTTTTGTTAACCACAAAAGCTTCCTTGAGTAACACATTATTAGAATTCATGGCCCGACTGTAATATTTAATTATTTGTTTTTTTATAAATACGTCTAGGGGGTATCTGCCTATCTCGCTATACATGGCCATAATTGATGTGTGTTGTGACACCCCTAGTAGATACCGACATTAACTTAATTGAACGTCTTCAATAGGTGATTTAGTGGAGAACTCATCACCCCAAACATCACAACCATAAATGAGGATAGGTCTGATGAGTTTGTCAAAAAGGGAAATTGAAACTTTTATACTTATGTTTTGAATTGAGCCAAGCTTTGCTTTCATTGAAAACAGAGCTTTTTGAGCCTTACTTTTAAGGTTTTTTAGGCCATCCTTAAACCTACCATTGGCACTAATGACTAGTCCCAGATAGTTATAAGATTTAACTGTATCAAGTACGATACCTCCAAGAAAAAATGTATCATTATTCAAACGTCTGTTTGATTTATTGAAAATTAAAATTTTGGTTTTGTCAGTGTTGACAGAGAGCTTCCACGTTTTAGCATACAATGCCAAACTATCAAGACATGTCTGTAATCTGGGGGGAAGAGATAATAGAAGAAAGAAACTTTTAGTTTTATCTTTAGGATGTGTCTTTGTAAAATGCGAGAACTTTACTGACAACCATGACAAAAATCATTTCTGAATTCCCGTACGGGTCACAATAGAGATCAGTATATATGTTGCTATATATAGTACTAGTATACTGCATCCAGATGCGATCCACAAACCCCTATATAAACCCCATAAACCTACCATATTGCTCAGCTGTAACGAGATAAGCAATGTATTTGTCAGACTGTGTGCTCGACAAATTAGGTAATACTGTAAAATACATTTTCCCCATTATTTCATTAATATTAAATCTCAATTGAGCTTCAGCTTAAACGAATTAAATTATTTTTCAACTTCTTGTTTTTGTAATGTTTTATTTAAAGAAATTAAATATTTGGGATTTTGAACTTTGCGTTACAAATGTTGTAATACTGCACTACAAATATGGCCGATGTATTTCGATGAGAACTCCGTTTTGCTAATATTTTTACCAAATATCCATCACTGCGTTGCCAAGGTTACTGATATTTCCTGAATTAATTTGCATTTACCAATATAAGTCGCATCTAAAATGCCATTTTTATTTGGAATCCATGTTAACTATGTACTGTGCTTACTACAGTTTCTCATCGTCGTCAATATTTGGACTCCACCGACATCAGCGGCATCATCAAAGATAACCTGCAAAAGCGAAGGGACATGCAGCTGTCGACTTTCAGACAGCAGCGGACTGTTTGATCTCAGGCCACTGTCTGGAAACACCACCCACCCAAGATTTGAAAATGTACTTGGTGAAAGTGGAGATCGTTTCTGGTTCGATCCGTGCGTTGGCTTCTCTCTGCAGTCCAGCAACAAAACGTGTGACGATGTTGCCGTGTGTCGTCAAACACAGCACCCCAAAGATGCGTACTTCAACTGTGGTGATCCACAACCTGAATACATTTATTTTGAACACAATGACTCGGTTACCTTAATGTATAATAACAGTATGTTTGGTTATAATTGTTTTTTCTATTGACTGTTGTGTCTCCTTGGCGTGCTCGAATGTTGAAACGGCATGAGTAGGCATGTTCCATGTCTCGTAGTTGTACAAGTCTTGTTTACGATGGTGAGTGTTTCTATTTTGAAGGGCTGCGGTCGTCGCGCAGTGCGTGTTCGAATTTCATGTAAACAATGTATTTTACACGCGCTGTGTACACGAGTCGTATATCGAACAGGACGCGGCGTGACAACCACCGCCCTTTAAATACAGTAGTATTGATGTTATTTTGTACTTGCCTGCTGCTGCATGGCACGGATTATTTTTTTAGTTACTATCAGAGAAACTGTGAAATACTTCTTTTGTTTATTTTTTTGCTGAAAAGATATTTTGATAGTTTTTTTGTGTATGAAGCTTATTTTCACTGATTTTTAATAAGATGAAAAAACATAGGAAAAAAAATTCCTCTCCAGTTGAAAATGTTAGTGTTTGAAGTTGAAATAACCACATTTACTATATTTCAGATAAACAAGGGGAAGCAAATAAAATTACAGTAGTCACAGTGAAATGCACAGAGTCCGTGGAGCATCATCTACACGTGTATAAACAAGCACGACCGGATCGCTATAATATGACGCTGGAATCACCTTATGGTTGTTTACAAAGAATTAAACCATTTATAAACAAAAGGACAATTGGTCCTGGTGCTGTGATTATTTTGATATTTTTGGTTGTCATCTTCCTGTATTGTGGATTAGGTAAGTATGTTTTAAAAAAAAAACTTGTCTGAAAAAATAAATATTGAAATCTGTCTAGACTGAATAAATAAAGGCGTTAGATGGACCGATCTTGAAATTGAGTGTCCTCAGAATTTACTTTCAAACAGTACTCTGACTTATTGTATGGCAGCAGCTCATCTCAAAAACCCAACAAGTGGTAGCAAAATTTGTTATTGTTGAGGGTACTCAGAACAGTATCTGTGGTAGATGCATTTCTGATAAGGTAAATGAGGATATCTGGAGATGATTGTTTTCTAACAATCATTGCAGTTATGTTTG